CAACAAAGTGCAAAAAATAACACAAAAAAAAGCAGAGTGTTGTTGGTGTGGGAATGCATTGCAGGTTTACAGTGTTCAGATTAATGTGGCCGCATGCTGGCATCTGGTAGTGAGTGAGACTGATGGGAATTCAATGAAGGCATATTTCATATTATCAACTAATTTGTTTTGTATTTTCATGCTTTGCTGTTTGATATTCACATCAACTTAATTTTACGTCTAAAACAAAGATAAAGTTTTGAACAAAAGAAGGACGAAAAACGAGGTTCTGTTGGGGAAAATGAAATTAGCTGAACTGGAGCCAAACAGGCAGTAAAAGGGTTAAAACAGCTGCTTTCTGATTATTACAGCTGCTGAAGTGTGAAGTCTCTCCTCGGTTATTATGTGGGTGGACACATCTGTTGTTACTGAGGTTAGATGTGAAGCAACGTCTCGTTCATCGCAGAAACCTCTGAGGCAACTCTTTTGATATGAAGGCAAATAAGTAGAATTACTATCATAAGGAAGACTCATAAAATACAATAAGTGTGTGACAGGCGATGTGTGAGTGAGCGTCGGGGTCACGTAACAGAGATTTTTGCCTCTGCTTTAATAAAACACATTATTAGGAATGATTGACGGTACAACAGTTCATGTGTTTGATTTTTATACAGTTGGTTGGTTATATAAGCTTTGGAAGAGACTTTTAGGAGTTTTTTTCTACTGCACTGATAATCCCTTAACAAGCACATCCTCCTGTATGAGTACACGCTTTGTCTGTCATGACATAATAACGCCACTGTGGCCTCTGCAGCCTGTGATTTAAGGTCACAACCTTTTGGATTCGGGTCACCAAACTCACGGGATCCACATGAAAGCAAAGAGAAAACCAAAACGAAAGGGACGTCTTAACTTTCAGTTTAAATGCAGGACTCTGGTGTATCTGAGACTAAGTTCATATTAACGAGTTTTAATTTAGTAGCTTGGACATTTGGCACCTGTGTTGCTTGTTTCTAGATTAGGGGTCCTCNTTCTGTCCTGTCAGACTGAAAGAAGTTCCTCCTCCACCAAAAAGTGAGTCCTTGGTTTTCAATTTTTAACTTTCAAAAGAAAGAGAAGGACATCAGCGCTCCGATCATTCCTTCATGCTGAAAGCATCCTGTCACAACCCGAAGGAAACATCAGGGAGGAAAAAGTGTTCACGCACGCTCCCATTAGAAGTGAATCTGAGCCAGCTTTGCAGTGACATTTATTTTTTCACACTTTAACACGCCCACGAGGCCTAATTACAGTTTTAGGAGCGACACCAACACAGCTAACACCTAACTCCTGGAGCAACGACTGTGGGTGTAAAAAAAACATTTATCCCGGTGTTGAAACTTAATTCGTCTGACTCACGCTGCCGGATTAACAAACTGTGTCTAGAAAAAGTTCATCTGTGGTTTCAGAGCGTTAGAAGCTGAAGACCACACAGAATCAAAGGCACACCTCAGCCTTGATTTGAAGCTGCCGAGGTGTTATATTATTTTAGCACAGTTCATAAACACAGAAGCTCATATTAGCAATTCTCCTTATGTCATACCATCATAGCATCTTTTTCTCCTTGATCCAGCCTCAGTTCTTCTAATCTCACAACTCATCTTTTTCATTCAAAGCTCATTTTACACCACATCATCTATTTGAACCTCAACTTTCTCATTTAAATTAATTTCAAATTCCTGCTTATCTTTATCCATCTCTTCTCATCTAATTTAATTTTTCTCACTCCACAGAGGAGCCCGATGTTCGCACCAGGAAGATCGTGAAGGTGGTGACCCAGACGATGGTCAACGGCAAGGTGGTGGATGAGTCCAGCGAGGTGGAGCAGATTGAAGAGACCAAGAAATAGAAAAAAAAAAAGAAGGGATGGGGGGGATTAAATAAACTGGAACATAACGTAGAAGAAAAATGACAGTGTTTTACAAAACTAAAGGAGACAGAGAAAAAAATAAAGTCAGTTTAGCGTGAGAATGTTGAAATGTGGAGATTTGTTCACTTTTTTTTTTTGCAAAGGCTGTTTTGGGGGCATTACTTGACCATGAATGTGTTTTCAGAGAATGTTTCCTAATGTTAGCTTGATTCTTGGTTCTGGAGAAGCTTAACTACTGCTGTAGCTACACATGTGTTGATGAATTTTTAGATAGATGTGTGTGTAAGAGGACCTAACTAACCGCTATCTATAGCTTCATACTGCTTCACTAACAACAGGTCAAGTAGTTAAACAAGATATTTATTTCCTAGTGTGGTAAAGTTTACTTTAGTAAAATTTAGTACAAACTTGATGTCTTTTACAAGAATAACATTTAATTGACTTTGCTGTTTTGTGTTTGTTCTCTGTCTGAATAAAAACTTCTATTAATCCATGTTATGTTGTGGCGACGCTTCTATCACTTGGACTAAGTTTTCTGGCTTTGTGAGGCTGCATGTTGGCACAGAGGTGCTTTGAGCTAAATAGTAGCATCATTATGCTAAACACGTTCAGAATAACTATCCTCCTGGCTAATCTAAAAATGAGCAAAGAGTTTGAGTTTGAATGGAGCTGAAAGATCTCTTAAACACGGAATATCCTCTGACGACAACCCGCCTTCACTCAAAGCA